CCTATTAATGTCATTAATACATAAATTGATAGAGCAATGATAGAGCAATGTTGTATTTCTGGAAGAAGCCCAACTTGGTCATAGTTTGTTTTTTATTTTCCTTTATTTCTTCCTTCTTCCTTTCCTTTTATTGTCTTCCTGCACTAGCTAGGACTTCCAGCATGATATTAAATAGGAGTGGTGAGAGGGGACATCCTTACCTTGTGCCAATCTTAGTGTCCAGTTTCTCACTATTAAGCATGATGCTAAGTGTATGTTTTTTTGTAGATGTTTTAACAAGTTGAGAAAATTCCCCTGTATTTTTTCTGAGAGGTTTTTTCATGAATGTCTGTTGGATTTTTGTCAAATGCTTTTTCTACATTAATTGATATATGGTCATATGATTTTTCTTCATTAGCCTGTTGATGTAGTATATTACAATGATTTATTTCAAATGTTGATCCAGTCCTGCATACCTGGAGTAAATCCACTTGGTCTTGGCGTATAATTTTTTTTATACTTTGTTGGATTTGACTTGCTGATATTTTGTTGAGGTTTTTGCATCTTTATTCATAAGAGATCTTGATCTGTAATTTTCCTTTCTTGTAATGTCCTTATCAGGTTTTAATATCCAGGTAATGCTGGCCCCAAAGACTGAGTTATGAATTATTCCCTCTGCTTCTGTTTTCTGGAAGATATTGTGGAGAATTGGCATAATTTATTCCTTAAATGTTTGGTCGAATTCACTGATGAATTTATTTAGTAGATAATAAACCTATCCAGATGATCTATTTTACCTTTGAGAGTTTGATAGTTTAGTCTGTCAATTAATAGATCTATTTCCTATTTGATAACCTAAGTTATCAAATTTGGGGGCATAAAGTTGGTATTTATTTATTATTCTTTTAATGTCTATGGAATCAGTAGTGATGACCCCTCTTTCTTCTGGTATTGGTAATTTATGTCTTCTCTCATTTTTTCTTGGTTAGTCTGGCTAGATTTTTATAGTTTTATTGATCTTTTTGAAGAACCAGATTTTGATTTTGTTAACTATTTTTCTTGTTCTGTGTTTCACTGATTTATGCTTCAATTTTTATGACTTCTTTTCTTCTGCTTGCTTTAAGATTAAACTGCTTTTCTTTCTCTGGTTTCCTAAGACAGAAACTTAAGAACTTATTGATTTTGAGCTTTCCTTTTTTCTAATATATGCACTAAATGCTATAAATTTTCCTCTAAGCTCTGTTTTTGAGGCATTCTAGAAGTTTCGATAATTTATATGTCATTTGATAATTTATATATATATTCATTTTTATTTAGTTCAAAATGTTTTTAATTTCTCTTGAAACTTCTTTTTTGACCCATGTTACTTAGAAGTGTGTTGCTTAATTTCTAAAATGTGAGAAGATTTTCCAGCTATCTCTCTGTTACTGATTTCTAGTTTAATTTCATTGTGATCTGAGAACATACTTTGTATGATTTCTATTCTTTTATATTTGTTAATGTGTATTTTATGGCTCAGAATGTGGTCTATCTTGGTGAATGTTCCAAATTCAGCTTGAGAAGGATGTATTCTACTGTTTTGGCTAGAGCATTCTATACATGTCAGTTAGATCAAGGTGATTGATAGTCTATTCAGGTCAACTCTATCTTTACTAATTTTCTGCCTCCTTGGCATATCAATTACCAAAAAAGGGATGTTGAAGTCTCCAACTAGAATTGTGGATTTATCTAGTTTCCTCGTTTTATCAGTTTTTGCCTGGTATATTTTGATGTTCTCTTGTTTGGTACCATAACTTCTTTGAGACTGTTATGACTTATTGGAGAATTTTCCCTTTATCATTATGCAATGCAGCTCTTTATCACTTGGACTTTTTCTTCCTCTGAAGTCTGCTTTCTATAAAATTAATATAGCTAGTCAAGATTTATTTTGGTTAGTATTAGCATGGTATATAATTCTCCATCCTTTTAACCTACTGCCTCTTTATATTTAAAGTGAATTTCCTGTAAACAGTATGTGGTCTGGTCTTGTTTTTTTAATCCACTATGAAGATCTCTGTCTTTTAATTGGATATTTACATCACTAATATTTAAAGTGATTATTGGTATAACTGGATTAATGTTTGCCATCCTTGTCACTGTTTTCTGATCATTGCATTTGTTCTTCCCCCCCTCTTTTTCTGCCTTCTCTGATATTAATTGAGCAACTTATGTTGTCCCATTTTATCTCCTCTCTTAACATATTAATTATAATTCTTTTTAAAATTTTTAAAGGTTGCCCTAGAGTTTCCAATATACATTCTTAACTAATCTACATCCATCTTTAAATACCACTGTACCACTTGATGTGTACTGCAGTTTCCTATTCACAGAATATTCCAAATTCCTCTGTGCCATCCCTTATGACATTGCCGTCATTCATTTCACTTACGTATATGCTACAATCACCCTGTACACTTTTACTATTATTTCTTTAAACAAAAAATTATCTTTTAGATCAATTAACAATAAGAAAAATAACATATTTTATTTTACCTTTGTTTATTCCTTTTCTGATGTTCTTCCTTCTTTATGTAGATCTAAGTTTCTTAACTGGATCACTTTCCTTGTCACTGAAGAACTTCTTTTAACCTTTCTTTCAAGGAACATCTAGTAGTTACGAATTCCCTCAGTTTTTGTTTGTTAGAGAACGTCTTCATTTCTTCTTCACTTTCAAAGAATAATTTCCCTGAATGTAGAATCCTAGATTGGTAGTTTTTTCTTTCAAAATTTTAAATATTTTTTTGCACTCTCTTTTTGCTTGCATGGTTTCTGGCAAGAAATACTTTGTAATTCTTATCCTTGTTCCTCTGTAAATAAGATATTTTTACCTCCAGCATTTGTCTTGGTTTTCTTTTTGTCTTTTGTGTTCTGCATTTTGAATACAAGATATTTGGGTGTAGTTTTTTTTGTAGTTTTTTGCTTGGTGTTCTCTAAGCTTCCTGGATCTTTAGTTTCATGTCTGTCTTTAGTTTTGGATAATTCTCAGCCTGCATTCAAATATTTCTTCTTCTTCTTACCTCTCCTGATATTCCAGTTATGCATATGTTAGACCTTTTGAAATTGTCCTATGTTCTTGGATGTTCAATTTTTTTCATTCTTTTTTTTCTTTGCATTTCAATTTGTGTAGTTTCTATTGACTTGTTTAAGCTCACTCTCCCTAATTCTTTCCTTGGCTGTGTCTAGTCTGCTAATGAGCCTATCCCTGGCATTCTTCAATTATATTGCAGTGTTTTTGATATGCAGCATTCCCGTTTAGTTATTTGTTAGACTTTCTGTCTCTCTGGTCACATTACCCTTCTGTTCTTGCTTGATGACTACTTTTTACATGAGTGAAGTTCACATATTGATCTTAGATATTTTAGATTCCCTGACTAATAATTTCTGTGACTGTGTCGTATTTGAAGCTGGTTCTGGTGCTTGCTTTATTTCCTCAAACTGTGGTGTTTCTTCCCTTTGGGAATATCTTATAATTTTTTTGTTAGAAGCCAGATATGTTGTATCAGGTAATGGGAACTGTAGTGAGTAGGCCTAGTGTGAGAATTTAAGTCAATCTGGCTAGACCTGAGCTGTGTTTGCTGTTTAATGCCCTCCTCTGCCTGCGCTCCAAGGACGAGGATCTTTCTCAGTTCTTCACCATGAAAACTTGGTGGGGTTCACTGAGTTAAAATCCATGAAATTGTGGGGCCCCCGCTAAGACTTGGCCCCAGAAGTTTCTCACTGTCGTGATAGTCCACACATAGCCTCCTCATCAAATGTACCTGCCTCACCTTACATCTTCTAGCCAGGTTTTGGCTGTAGTGGCTGTTGCTTCCGGTTGTAAGATCTCAGCTCTGACTCTCTTGATTCATCAGATTTCTCCAGATTTCACAGTGGTAGCAGTTTTCCCTGCAACTTCAGTTCTCTGATGAGTTCAAGAAAAGTCATTGATGTTTAATTTGTTCAGCATTTTTTTGTCGTAAAGATGGGAGTGACAACTTCCATGCTGTTCACCCTTTGGGTCTGAAACCATAAGTCTTGCACCTGATTAGTGTTACCACACTATATCTTTTTCCATCCTTTTATTTATTTATTTATTTTTTGTGAGGAAGATCAACCCTGAGCTAACATCCATACTAATCCTCCTCTTTTTGCTGAAGAAGACCGGCCCTGAGCTAACATCTATTGCCAATCCTCCTCCTTTTTCTCCCCAAAGCCCCAGTAGATAGTTGTATGTCATAGTTGCACATCCTGCTAGTTGCTGTATGTGGGATGCGGTGTCAGCATGGCCGGACAAGTGGTGCGTCAGTGCGCGCCAGGGATCCGAACCCAGGCCACCAGTAGCGGAGCGCACGCACTTAACCACTAAGCCATGGGGCCGGCCCCTCCATCCTTTTACTTTTGTGATACTGAGTGTTCATTTTTACAGTGAGTTTCTTGTGGGCAGTATGTAGTTGAGTCTTGCTTTACAATTACTATTATTTAATGGGGTATCTGGACCATTTCTAGTCCATGTGATTATTGTGGATGGTTAGGCTTAAATATACCATCTTGCTACTTTTTTTTCTGTTTATACCATTATTACTTTTTTTCTTTAACTGTCTTCTTTTGAGCAATTGAACAGTTTTTTTTTCTTATTCCAATTTTTCTCTTTTGTTGGCTGATTAGCTAAGACTCTGTATTTTTATTTTAGTAGTTGCTTTAGAGTTTATAGGGTACACCTTTAACTCATCACAGTCTACCTTTAAGTGGCATTAAACCACTTCACATGCAGTATAAGCACCTTATTAGAGTATATTTCTATTTGTCTCCTCCTGGCATTTGTGCTGTTACTGTGATACATTTTACTTCTTCATATGTTATAAACTTCACAATGCATTGTTATTATTTTTGCCTTAATCAGTAAATTAATTTTTAAAGGGATTTAAATTGTAAGGAAAAAAGTATTTAAAATTGTTGTTACAATATACAAATTGCTAAAATATCCAGTCGTTTTAATTCTTTCATGTAGATCTAGATTTCCATCTAGTATCCTTTTCCTTCTGCCTGAAGGACTTCATTTATTATTTCTTGTAGCGCATGTGTGCCTTATATTAATTCTTTAGGTTTTTATATGTCTGAAAAATCTTTGTCATCATTTGTAAACAATATATCCACTGAGTATAGAATTGTAGGTTATGGTTTTTTCTTTCAGTATTTCACAGATGTTACTCCACTATCTTCTGGCTTACATGGTTTCCAAGGAGAAATCTGCTGTCATCCTTCTCTATGTTCTTCTGTAATGTGTTTCCACTTCCCCCGTGCTATTAAGATGATCTCTTTATCACTTGTTACATGCAATTTAATTTTGAGGTGTCTTTGTGTAGTCTTCTTCATGTTTCTTATGCTTTTGTTCTGTTAAGCTTCTTTTATCTGTGGATTTATAGTTTTGGTAAAAACTGGAAAATATTTGGCTGTTATTTTAAAAAATATTTTGTTTTCTTTCCCTCTCCTCCCTCCATTTCATGAACGTATATTTGGAAGAGTGAACCTGAAATAAAATTCTTTTTTCTGGGGGCCGTGGGGGGACTTGTGATCATTTTGACATGACTAAATAATTATTGTCACCTTAGTTAATTATTACAAGTAGATTTCAGGGGCAATATGTAAACTAGGGACCATGCCTTTACCCCAGCCCTAGTCTTCATCATCCTTTATCTGAGCTATTACATTAAAATTCTAGTGACTAATGTGGCCTTCTTTTACATGGCTTAATCTCACTCATCCCTCAACTTAGGTTTTCATCTCTTCTAGAAAGCCATTCATGACCCCTTTCCAGTTCGGGGTTAAGCACCTCTCTTTTGAGTTCCTGTGGAGACCTATTCTTATCTCGATTATAACAATTACTATGCACTTATATTATCTTTTAGTTCTCTTTCTTTTTCATTATATTGCAAACAAATGGAGCGCGGAAAGGGTATTTTGATCATTTTGCAATTTCCAACACTCAGCACAATGATGTACTTAATACATTGTTTATTAAATTGAGCTGAAGTGCAAGACTTTACATATATTTATATTAAATTTCATCTTATTGTATTTATCCCATCACTTTAATCCAAACAAGGTCTTTATATCTCATTTTTCCATCCAAAGCGCTTTTCCCCCTGGCACATGTTAATGGAAGGCTTATTAAGCACGTCTACACATCTTCATCCAAAACCTAATTAGGTTCATGCTAACATGAACTTAGCAGAATACCCTACAGCTCATGCCAACTCACCGGGAGGACTAAGAGATGCTGCAGAATCTTGGACAGGTTGCAAAGCTTAGAGAATCTAGAGGCCAAGCTTTCACGATCCATTGTATTTGTGGTTGGCTTCAGTGGTGCAATTTATAAGATGATATTGTATTAAAGTATGCTTGAGTTTTCTCTGCTGGATAAAATAACCAGAAAATAATAATTCCATAGAACATTACAATTTATCTGTGTGCACAAGAATATTTTGAGGAGAAATAAGTTACCAATTATAATGTATTTTGAGAATTGGAAGAACTGATTCCTCTGACTGCCCTATGATATTTCCCAAAATGTTTCTACTGCATAATAGGCACTATGGAGAAAGAGGTGACACTGTACAATGTATTTAGTAAATGGAGGATTAATGAAATTTAAATTGAAATGTCTTTGACTTAACTTTTTTTTTTGGCTGAGGAAGATTTGCCCTGAGCTAACAGGCAGAGTGCGCCAAACTTAACTGCTAGGCCACAGGGCTGGTCCCTGACTTAACTTTCAAATAAAATTTAAACAAAGTTAATAAAATATTTCTTTGTTGTGGGACTTCTCAGGACTCCTGCTATGTCCATGATCAGTGTCAGGCTCCACGAGCTAGGACATATGCAGTTTCCCATTTGATCATGGGACTGTTTCTGTCAGGTTTTCTCTCAGGGTGTGTCCCATAGAAACCCTTGGAAACGCTGTGATCAATGTCGGTGTTCTCTGACCACCAGGATGCTCTGCTGAAGTGGTGCAGTCAATGAAGTGACAAGACAGAGAAGGACACAAAAGTTTCCACAAAAAGCTACTATTACTATAGACCCAGTGGAGTGGTGACTTCATGTCACATGGGAATTTTTGAAGCTATGCTAGTAAAGGTGAAATAGCTAACAGTCACCCTTTATTGATGGATTGCGACATGAAACTTCTAACCTGATGGAGTATCATCTAAAAGATGAAAGTGCTTTTCTTCATTGGTTACTAGGGAAGTTCAGAACTGCCCCATTTTAACCATTATGAAGCATCCTGAGCATACATTTCGGTACATCAATCTTTCCCTCTAATCTTACTATGGTAAATGTATGTGAGGTTAGCCATGATTCTTTGTCAAATAGAAAAATCTAATCCTTTTGTATTTCTTAAGCTATTTCAAACAGCTTCTATGGAACAAGGTAGGGCTTTAAACAAAAATCAACCAACAAACAAATAAAAATAGTAAAAGACACCTATATATAGTCCTATCTATTCAAATCATCTCAATGCTCTTGCATTCCTTTTGCATACAAATTTGTGGCCTTCGGCACTGTCTTAGTCTGTTCAGGCTGCTGTAACAAATACCATAGGCTGGGTGGCTTAAACAACAGAAATTTATTTCTCATAGTTCTAGAGGCTGGGAGTTCAAGATGAAGGTCCAGCAGATGCCGTGTCTGGTGAGGTCTCTCTTCCTGCTTTGCAGACGGCCACCTCGTTGTGTCCTCATATTGGGGAGAGAGAGAGATCTTGTGTCTCTTCCTCTGTTATAAGGGCATTAATCCCATCGTGAGGGCCCACCCTCATGACCTAACCACCTCCCAGCCCCACCTCCTAATACCATCTTATTGGGTGTTAGGATATCAACATATGAATTTTGATGGACGGACACAAACATTCAGCCCATAGCTTACACCTACAAAAAGTCTCTCACATCAGTACCTCAGATTACTTCCTTGTGCTCTCTTCAAATCTTAATTCTGTCCCTCTGTGTGAATTTTCCCTGACTATTCTGCTTTCTGCTGTCACCAGCTTGGTCTCCCTGACACCTTGCCTTCCATCCCAGCATGCTGGGACTTAACCTGGTAATAATAAAGATGGGGACCAGGAGATGCAGTAGGAGGTTTTCAGTCCTTGTTGACATTATTCCCGGGGGCTGCCCCTTTCCGGTGGGAAGATATTATCTAAGAAAACAGCATTGACCACAGCTGCCCCCTTCTTTCCCATCCCAGTGTGTTAGAGCCTCCTACCAAACAAGTCTGTTGGGAGAAAGTGGGGTTGACACCCCAGGCTCCTTAACAGCTGCCTCTTGGGCCACAGGTGAAGCTTCAAGTCCCCTGTGAACCTGGCCCAGGGCTCTCTTCAGCTTTCCTTACCTACATCGTGCTCCTGAGCCCTCTCATTCTGCCCTGTTAGAGCCATTCTGCTTCAGACTTGGTTTCTGCCTCTCTGATAAAGCACTGGTGCCTCCCTTGGCTCTTCATCTCTCCTTCACCCCGGAATAAAATCTTGCCTGTAAACTTGGACCCACTGGCAGCCTTAGACGGCTCCTGACCAACCTCGTTCCAGGCTCTGCTCTCCCCACCCAGCTTCAGAGCAGAGCACAGTCCTGTGGGTTTGCTAGTTCAGGAGTTTAGACAGCACCCATCCAACTGGCCATAAAGTAAAGACCATCTCCAAAATAAAGATAGGAGAGAAGGCCAATGTGCACATTCATACACTAGAGTCTTATTCCAGGCCTACTTGAATAGGAAAATATTTCTTAGTTTAAATACAATGATTGCCTTGTTTACAAATGGAAGTCTATGAATATATTGACTACGAGGAGTCCTTATGGTGACAAATGCTGAAATGCAACATATTTGTGAATGCAAACAGACGACAGCAAATAGTGCACACAAACGAATAATTACATTCACCGGGGTAAAATGAACAGGACTCTGATCACTTTGCTCATTGGTCTTCCTCCCTGTGGATGTGAAGTGTATTAACCTTTTGCTGTTCACGTGTACACGTCTGTAGATGGCAGGTAGCGTTGTATCTCAGTTATTGTGCATTGCTTATGAGTGTGGTGTTCCAAATCAGTGTTTTTGTTAGATAATTAAAATCTACCTTTTTTGGTACTGTGCTCCTTATGTACTTTTTTCCAAGCTTTCTGCTGTCATTTCTATTTTTCTCCATGACTCTCTTTTAGGAGCTTCTCCTATTCTTTGGAAACTCTATAACTAGGTTTACGATAATTTTACATTGTGTCAATAAAAAGTTCTGAGTCATGGCTGCTGGCTCATCTCCTGTGAGTAGGTTTTTCCATTGTTAGTTGGGATGCTCAATACTTCCCACAGTAAGTACTTTTCACTTCCTTCCATCAGCTAATGTTTGCTTTTTCAGCCTTCTCAGGACATATGAAAAGTGATTATTTTTAACTCCAATGATAAGAATATAATGGCAACAGGAATGAGTAAAGTCATTGAGATACTGGTGTTTAAATTGCAGAAATTATTTTCTTGAAACTATGTGGCAATTTTACTCTTTTTCCTCATGTATAGTACCTAAGGATTTAAGCCTTTTAATAAGCTGCAAATGTTATAAATGTTTTATTAAACCATGAATGCTATAAACCAGTTAGCAAGTATGCATACAAAAATGGGTTCATTATTGTTAAATATTAGCACAACTGACTTTTTAGTTGAGATTGCAGAACCAAAAGCTGACCTACGGATATTTAACATTATATATCAACGTGGAGGTAGGTGGCATGTAAATTGGTACAGATGGTTATGGAGCACAGGAGAAAATGGAAGGTATTTTAATGAGAACAAAGGCAAGTACTGATTGGAAGAATAGTGCTTTACAAGGAGCTGGACCTTTGCTAGTAATATTCCCAATAGCACAGGAAAGCAAACTTTTCAATAATTTACTAATGGAAAAAAAAGTACAACTCTAAAGTTACAAAACCAATTATTTTGAAACAAACACGGCAAACCTTGATACTTTCTCCCTGCCTGGTTTCTTTTCTTTCTGCTTCTCTGAGCTGGTCTTCCATCACTCAGAGTTCTCCGTCTTCCT